AGCGGGGCCTGGTTTTGGGCCCGTCGGACTTCGCGCAGTACCAGAGCCAGATCGCAGCGCTGCTGCAGACCAAGGCCCCCCTGGCGGCCACGGCCAGGAGGTGCCGCCGCTGCCGCTGCCCCAACTGCCAGGCGGCCGGCGGCGCTCCGGAGGCAGAGCCGGGCAAGAAGAAGCAGCACGTGTGCCACGTGCCCGGCTGCGGCAAGGTGTACGGCAAGACGTCGCACCTGAAGGCACACCTGCGCTGGCACACGGGCGAGCGGCCCTTCGTGTGCAACTGGCTCTTCTGCGGCAAGAGCTTCACGCGCTCGGACGAGCTGCAGCGGCACCTGCGGACTCACACGGGCGAGAAGCGCTTCGCCTGCCCTGAGTGCGGGAAGCGCTTCATGCGCAGCGACCACCTCGCCAAGCACGTCAAGACGCACCAGAATAAGAAGCTCAAAGTTGCTGAGGCCGGAGTCAAGCGGGAGGACCCGCGGGACCTGTAAGCCCACGCGGTGGCGACTCAAGGCCTCTCCCGCCTCTGACTCCCTTTCCAGCTCCTCTTCCGGGAGGTTCCGGGGGTTTGTGGGCAGCCGGCCAAGGGGAGACCCAGCAGAGGCACTTGCCCTTTCCTGCTTGCCTGCCTCCCAAAGCGACGCCCGGCTCCCAGCTTCCCTGGCCCGGCCTGCGGAACGGGGCCTTGTGCCCAGGAAGAGCAGGGGAGGTAGGGTTGAGAGCTCTGCGTCACGAAGGAGCGGTTTCAGGCTCTGAACCATTCCCACCGTCTGGGAGACCTACAGTTTGGGGGGACTACCCTGGGCTGACCTTTGTATATAGGAAACGCTGCTGAAGCAAAGGAAACGGACCTTGAGAGATGGCAATAGTGCTCGGGAGTTTTTTTGCTGGGACTGGGCCGGGCTTTGTACAGGTTATTTAATAGCTTTCTTAAAGAATAATTATAAGAATTATAACATTAATTAAAATGTTACTTTTGTCCTCAACTCCATGCAGAGCTACAGCATGAAATGTCTCTGTAAAGCAATCGGCATTTGCAGCGTGAAAATAAATACGTTAACTCCGGGGTCACCTCGGGAAGACCCCGCTGGGCCGGTCTCATTTGATCTCTTCTTCTTCCGGGAGGCTTTACAAAACGGTCAGGTTTCATCAGGAATTTGAAGGTTCCTCTAGGCTGCTTGTGTCTGAGGCTTCTTTGGTTTGGAAGGTTCTGGGCAAGCGTGCTGAGTGCAGAGATGCAGAAAGGAGGGCAGGGTCAGTTTTGCGATAAAGAGGTTAGGGCGAGATTTTCCAATCATACCATGAGTTTCTCACGCCCTTAGGTCTTGACCAGAGACTGTCGGGCTTCTCTTAAAAGTTAATACCTGCTGCACATTACAATACACGATCTTTTTACCTGGCGAATTGGCTGTGACTTTCCATTCGTGGGTACTCTCGGAACAGAGGTCACAGGCGAGCTGCGCTTGCTCCTTCCTGGCAGCCGGCTATGCTGGTGTCTTGAGAGGTGCTGGAGACTCAAGGATCTGTTCACGGATGAAATTTTGGAGGGTTACAGAGAAACTGGGGCCCTTGTTCAGGTTGGTCTTTGCCTGGGAAAGAAGCGCCACTCCTGTATTTCAGCCCCGTCATTATGCACAACCTTGTCTCGCTTGTTTTCTTCTTAATCATTTTGCGGGGGAAGTCTTAACAGCCTTGTTTCACAGTAGCCGCTTAGTGATTTCTGCCTAGGCCAGGAAGTTTAGTCCCATTTTGTATCTGGGGATTTTCTTTTTTCAGTCATTGCAGTAGACTAAGATTTTCTCTGGGAGGAGCCAGGAATGCTCCTATCTAGATTTCTCACATGTCTCTAAAATGTGAAGTTTTCAATGTGACTTTTACAGGTGTTTTTTCAAGTGTCTCAACTCAGCTGGCTCCTTGATGTTTCCTAATACTTTAAAAACCTGAAACTGAAACCTTAATCTTCTGGTTTGGAATTAGCAAAGAAAAGAAATTGTTGTAAATGTTGTTACTATGTTAAGCTGACTGCATCATTAATGCCAAGTTTGGACGGAACTGAATAATCTTTTCATGTTAGTAGAAGTGTATATAAATTGATAGGATTTCAGTTTATACACTGCTGTTACCTTGCCTTTTGTTTGAAGTAAAACCAAAGGGTAAGTTCTTAAAAGCCAGGAGGGTTGTGCTTGAGACTTACTATATTAAGTAAAACTCAACCATCAACATAATTGAGATGAAAATTACTTTCATACTCCTAAGAAATAGCATTTTTACTCTGTAACTTGGGACAAGGTCGTAACTATTAAAATCATTGTGGAAATACGCCTTAGAACCAGTTACTCTCATTAGAGATTTTTAAACTATTTAATGGCAGATTGGAATGTGAGTCTTCAGGGTTATTTACCTGGGAAGGGCAGTTTGGGCTAGCTAAATTTTCAAGGGTGTGACAGTTTGCAAAAAAAAAAAAAGTAATGAGAAATTTGCTACACAGTAACATTAATATGCATCTAAATGTGTAATCTAATCTCCATCAAGATTCTTGAGAATCATTTCTATGAAGAGTTTCAGAAACTCTGACATCTGAACCACACCCTGAGATCGACTTCAGAGCCAGAAAAGGTTTTGGAGTAGGTGACAGGGAAAGAGGAGTCCTGATTAGAAAGTGAAAAGACCAAGGACTCTGGACTTAGAAAATTTGAAATGCTTCTCTTATGTGAAAGAGAATGCCCTTGGTAGAGAAAGAAAAATGTCAGTTTTGAAGTGAATCTGCCAGCTAGCATTGATAGCTACAATTGTTTAGTATCCAAAGTGTTGAAGATAAAGTTTCCTTATAACTTTGTGATTGTTAAGAGAAAGAGAAAATATATGGAATTTATCTAAAAATACAATATATATAATTTTTAAAAGCAGAATGAAATCATTTGATGACAAAATAACTTTCTTATGTTTTCACTTAATTGAACCTGCAAATTTTAAAAGTTTGGTAAAAGTAGAGTCTCTAGACAACCTTGGTACAGCTGAAAGGCTGTTCCTTACTGTGAGTGCAAGTCTGTGTTCCACTTACTTTAGACAAATATATTTCTATATCCACGTAGAAGCCAGGAGGTCACAATAATGTGATATTATTATCCAAGTGTAGGAAAGTATTTCATGTTTATACTGAAAAAAAGCTAATCATAATTCTGTATGCCCCAAAATACAAGTTTGACAATGCAGAAATGTGTTAAAATCCAAATTGCTGCTGCATGCTTTATTTGGCTCATAAAACTGCAACCTACTACAGTACCATTCATTTAGGACTTTAAAAATTATTTTAAAATAAATCAATATGCAAGAAGTAATATGCAGAAATGATGTAAATTAAGCACAGTTAGCAGAAAATTTAATGAAATTCAGAAGTAAATTACTATTAAATGTAAACTAAAATTTATTTTTTATTTGGAATTTTGCCAACATCAAAAAAGGAAGTTTAATCTACCAGCTGGATCCAAGGCTTTATTTAAAGACCTCAGCACCCAATACAACTGAGTTTTTAAAACAGTTGAAGAAAATATGTTAACAACAGCCACAAATGTCAATAGACATTTTATATTTTTTAAACAACTATTTTAGTAACATGCAAATATAATGTAAAGTGTAATGTTTTTTAAAATTCTAAAATTAGTGTGATATGTTTATTAAATTTAACATGATTGACAAATGAACCATTTGACCAAAAACTTAGAAACATGGAGAAATTGAGTTATCAGTAATTTAGGTAATTTGGAATTGTATGTTTCTGAACTTGTTAACAACACTCCATAGTTTTCTACTTTTCTCAAGAGAAAATTGTGCAAATTTACCTTTAGCTGACCACTAATTTGGAATAGCTCTGGTCATGAGTGAAATTAAATTATGTTAAAGAAAATACCACTGCATTATTCACCATGTGTTAGTCTTTTCTAGTTTCAGTTAGAGTTTAAAACTTCTAACTATATTGTGTATGCTGTTTTAATTTACTTTCCCTTAAGACAGTCAAACAACACATACCAATTAAAAAAATTAATCTTGAGCATGCTTCTTGCAGAAACCTATTTGAAAAGGCAGTATTTGTAGACAAGGCAGTTTTTCACCCCAATTTTCATTCCATTTCTTTTCTAATACTGTTGAGTTTTAAGTAAGCAGTTTAAAGCAGCATCTTCAGAGTTTCCCATTTGTTTTGGTTCTGCTGAGAGAGTTTCACAGAATGTTTCTGTAGCAGTAGCTATGCCTTCACACTCATGTGAACACCTTCTAAGTTGTTTAGGGCTGTAAAATTGCAAACTATTGCATTAGCTCACATTAAATAATGACAAGTTGTGATAAATTGACACTGTCTCACTGGGAAAGAATCTGATGTGGAATCAGATTCAACCCTCAAGCTTTGTTTTATTAAAAGTAAGTATAATTACGCTTTGCTGATGTCCCAAATTGAGGGCCACTCAAAACACATCATGCAATGATTAAATATCATTGGCTTCCTCTGGTTTACATGATAAATGGGAACATAAAAGAATGTGAGACCAAGGGCAGCTTTGAAATGAGGACATGTGCCAACATAGTTTGATAAACTAGGAAAAAATTAGGACGACATCTAGATGGAAAGATGTATGTTGGCAAGGAGACATATATTTAGATTAGTACACCAAAAGGACAGTTTCATTATTGGGCCAATAGTGGTAACCTGATTAATGTGGTATTCAATAAATGTAAACAGTAATTTTTTCTCTGGTGTTCAGACAACGCATTTTTGCATAAAAATTTTTGTGTCAGTTGCTCCTCCCTTGATTGTTGCTGAAGAATCTGCAATGTTTCAGATTAATTTATGGACATTGTAACTTACATAACGTTCCTGCCTATAACGAATAATCGATATTGTTCAGCAAAGATGTAATCAAACAGCTATGAACCATCATAACTTTTTTTTGATAGTTTCACAGTTGTTTTACTGTTACAATTTATGACCAATTGAAGATTTGCACGTGATGATTGATACAGTATTCATTTTCATGCGGACATTTTGATGACTTCCCTTTCTAGACTTTATTATACTTTCCCTTCCATGTCTTCAGCAGTTATGCTGAAACATAATCTCCAGTGGCGTATTTGACACTTAATTCGTAATTCAGTCCATGCATGTGAACTGCAGTAGTTTCTGCACAACACATAATAAACTATATTAACTAATATATTTTGGTTGTCTACCTAATACCAAAATTCAGTTCAGGGGAAATAAATCAAGCTCCTAGTTTGATACTGATCTTCCTTGACTTACAATGGGGTTACCTCACGATAACCTCATCATGAGTTGAAAATATCATAAATTGCAAATGTGTGTAATACGCCTCACCTACCGAGCATCATAGCTTTAGCCTCACCTACCTTAAATGTGCTCAGAGCACTTACACTAGCCTATAGTTGGGCAAAATCATCTAACACAAAGCCCATTTTATAAGTGTTACTCTCTCGTGCAGTTTATTGAATATCGTACTGAAAGTGAAAAACAGAGCAGTCATATAGGTACGGGATGATCGCAAGTGTCTTGGTTGTTTACCTGGTCATGACCACATGGCTTTCTGGGAGCTGGGGCTCACTCCACTGCCTGGCATCACAAGAGTACCCTACAGCATATCATGAGCCCAAGAAAAGATCAAAACTCCAAGTTTGGTTCCTCTGAATGTGTGTCACTCTCACACCATCATAAAGCCAAAAAATCATAACTCGAACCATCAAGTCGAAATATCGTTAAGTCAAGGGCATCTGTATATGAAAAATCTGCAGCATTCACTCCTCAAAAATTTATTTCAGCATTATGAAGATTCAGTTTGCCCATTATAAAATGGAATTTGTTTTACAGCAAAGTTATTTATCTAATTTTTTTCATTACTTGCCAAAATCCTAACATCAAGAATATACTAAAATTTTCTGAGGTCTAAAGCAGTATCTAGATGTCACCTGATTTTTTAACACAAGGTTAAACCTTTCAGTCACATGGATGCTTTCTAATGGTTTTGTGTTTATCATAATCCAAAACATGGATGGAGAACATCTGGCCCTCAGCTTAATTTCATCCAA